GCCGAATTTTATTTGTAATTTTTTCCAACTTCCCATCTCTGTCCAAAACCCTCGGCTATGTCAAAAACCATCGCGTGAACGAAACTTTCAACATTCGCGGACGATAACGACGGGATCGTGGCTTACACTTACAGAGACCGCCTAAACTCCCATCTTTCTCATCATTCCGCTCTGCTCCTACTAGAAACCATTGAGGAAGGTGAGCTTGTTCGCGCCATTTTTCCTCTTCGCTCGTCCAGGATTTACTAATTCCGCCGATTCACAGGATTTAGTAAACCCCGGACTTATCGCTAATCGGCATCATTTTGGGATTTACGGGAGCTCAAGATTTACGGAGGCAAAAAATATTTTTGCCGTTTAAATCCTGCATAAACCCTGCTTAAAACCGGCTACCAAACAGCCCCTTAAAATCCTAATTGCAACCAAACATACAAAAGTGATGGTGGTTATTGAGTATTTATTGTCTCCATTGTAGTATTTAGTTTCTTTTATTAGTAGATTGAGCGAATCTTGCTCCTGTCATCGGTTCGCATGCTTAACTTGGTTTGTGACTATTTTGTATAATCCCGCATTAATGGACATTTTCGACCATATAAATTTTTTTATATATATATTATGTATCAATTAACCTCATCTTATTTTCTGAAGAAATAGTTATCAAAGTACCAATTGCCTCTTTCCCCCGAGGCAGGGGATTTTGAGCTAGAAAATGTGCGGAATAGCTGCAGTTATCAGTGGGATTCAGATCATCGGATCCAATCTTTCCAGGAAAACGAAGGAAGCTTCTCCTTTAGAAGCCAAAAAGGTTTCTTTCCTCTATTTCGACCTTCCAGTCAATCTCCCCTTTCTGAAACTTTGTTGTAGTTTAATCCTATCCAAATTTAAACGTGGAGATTTCATGACATTGTATTTAGGGTCTTATTTTGTGTTATCAAATAGGTTTACATAATTCTGCTTATTGATTTATTTACTTGTGCAGGACTATGGATCAGTTCTTGTAACTATAGATAACCTCAAGTCTGCTTTGCAAAGAAGAGGTCCTGATAGCTTGGGGTGCAGAAATGTTTTGATTCAGTCAGAATGTGAAAATTTGGTTAAAAAATGCGGTACCTTTTCTTGTTGCATAGTTTTAAACTTGTTATATCTTTGTTTTTGTTTCTTTAACACTTGATAAGCTAATGCTTATATAACAGATATTAAAGTAGATAAAAGTCAATATTTTTCTTTCTGCCCTTGAAACATGGTTAACCGTACGATTTCATCTGTACCAGAAACAACTTGCACAAAGGATGTAAGTGTCAGTGGAATAAATTCTATTGCACAAGTACATTTCATTGGTGCAATGTTACAACTTAGGGGCTTAAATCCGGTTTCTCAGCCGCTAGAGGATGCATCTGGGAATCTTCTTGTATATAATGGTACGTCATTATAGCTTTGCCAATACTTATATTCAAGAGGATTACCAAATACAGTTTGATTGGTGGATAATGACTTTGGTTTGTCTTCAGGTGTATTTTTTTATATCCTTTTACCCCATTTTTAATTCTCTTATCTTGTTGTCCATTATCCATTTTCATGAATTTATAGGTCATGCTGTTATCTGATTTTCAATCATTTTGAGGATTCTACATAATTTATATAATGTATTATTTCAGCTTTTTTTTTAATAAAGTGCATGCGTATGTTTCTCTTTATACATTTTTCACTCAAATTAATTTTCACCATTTGCTAAACAATTTAAAAGGATATAATAAATGCTTTATTTTTCCTTAATAAAAGTTATTTGGCCTATTATCAATATATCAATATTTGCTGGGAAAATTTTGGGTTGACCATAGAGGAGTATTTATTGATACTTTATTTGATAAATCACTACAGAATTATATGTATTAGAGAATATTTGAATATCATGTGGAGTCATAGAGTTAGCATCTAAAAGAGCAACATCTGTTGATTTAGTTTCCTGCAAGCTAGCTTTCATAGTTTTCTAATAGAAAAAAAGGGGAAGTGTTGGGTTATGCTGCTATCCCTTTATCTATCTTCCTTATTAGCTTGCTTTTTTATTGCTAACATTGACATTATTTATGAAATTGCCTTTTTTTGTGCAATTTTAACTGAGGCCCTTTTATTTGAAGGCGAAATATTTGACGGTATACACATTGCTGATGATAGCAATGACTTGGAAGTTCTTCTCCATGAACTTGAAACATGCTGTTCTTTTGACTGTCATGAATACATTGATGGATTTTCTAATTCAGACCATGGGAAATCTATACCTGATGTCCTTTCAACTATCAAAGGCCCATGGGCTTTCATTTACTGGCAGGTGCCTCAGTTGAATATATTGGCCTTTGTGATTTGACTAATAACCTTTTTTCATCGTCTGTACCTGTTGAAATTTTCTTAATATTCCAATTTCAGGATAAGTCAAAAACTATGTGGTTTGGTCGAGATGCATTCGGTAGAAGAAGTCTCCTGGTCCACTGGCCAACATGCACCGACTCTAGATTTATTCTATCTTCAGTTTCACCGCCTTTATTTGTAGAAAACCATTCAGGTATATAACTCACACTATCTCACATATCTCATACTACCTTCACACGCATGAGTGTTCTATCATCATACTAGCATTATTTCCATGCAATGAATTCTCTTAAACGAATGTATCCATGAATGGGTTGGTGTAGCTCCAGTGGTAGACAATATTAGAGAGAGTTATGTCTTAGATGGTTTGGGAACATTAAACATCGACCATCTAATGATCAGGTTAGGAGAGTAAATGTTTTAGATTCGACTTTAAGAAGGAAAGATGTAGACCTAAGTAGGCTTGGGCATTTTGATCTTAATTTATTAGAATTAAATGAAAAAATGACACTCAATAAGATAAAATGGGGAAAAAGGATTCTTGTTTTACTATATCTAGTTCTCAAGTACAGGAAAAGCGTCTTGAGGGAGGACTGCCAAGGTTTCAAATTTTGGGAAATTGATGGGTTTGTTGTTCTTGTTTATGAAGTTTCTTTATATAATACTATGCATATGTTGGAGCCATGGCAATACATAAATGATGAATTGTTTCTCATAAACTATCCTTGGAATACTATCTATCTTCCAAAATGTTGATGACAGATTTCTGGGAGTATGAGAAGCTAGGAAAATTATTTAGTTGGATATTGTCTTAATTTAAGTGCTTCTAGTATAAACATATGACAATGAATACAGGTGTGGCTTAGTGGTTTGGAGCTTTCACTCCTCTCCATTGGCCTGCACTCGAATGCACTTACTAATATCAATAAATTGCACCTTTGTGCTTTTCTAGCACAAAATAAACATGAAAAATGAAGCTATTTTTGATAAATTTTTCTTGACGTATTATTAAATCTGTAGTCTCATTAATGGTGAAACTACTTCTCTTGTAGGTTCAAACTTCATAAAGAATGGACTTGAAAATGAGATGGCTAATGTTGTTACAAGTTCAACAAATGAAATTTGCTACTGGGAAGAACTTCCTTGTGGAATTTACAGCATTGAGTTAAATATCTCAAATAAAAATGTGCAATTCATGAAGGAAGACTTGTTAGGTGTTGTTCGAAAGCACAGATGGAGGAATCCCCGATTAAGTAAAGTTATCTCATGGGATCGATTGCTCCTGGATCCCAAGATAGAACACGTTCATCCAATTCAAACAGAGCAACTTCCACTACCAGCCGATTGTTTAATAGGTACATGTTAAATGCGTGAATCAAGTATAATCAGGTGAAATATTCTAAGTTTTTAATTATTGGACGGTATTTATTTCACAATCAGTTTAGATAGTGACACTCGGGAAAGGAAATGGATTCAGTTTTGCAGCTTGGGGTCTTAAATCACATATAAAGTTTTCATTATTAATTTTTGGCGCATATAACCAATAATCATATAACTTTCTAGCCTTCATTTTGGGCCCACTCTCCTTGGGCTGGAATCCAAATTAGGCAAGTTATGATGCATTCATGTCAGTTATGTGTTTCCTCGTTTATGTAGAATGATTCATTTTCACTGTTTTGATTTTCACGTACCATTTTGTCACCATCATGATAAAGGAAATGCCAAGGAAGACATCTATTAATGTCTTGAGTGGAATGAGTCACCTAGGCTATGTCTAATATAAAATTCTCACTTAAAAAAGTTACACGAGGGTAAGTAACAAAAGTTGTTTAGTGCTAATAAGTCACATTGCACCATAAATAGCATTGTTTTGAACGAACATTTTCATCAATTGAAGCTTGGCTTTGATGTTGTTGAGCTGTACTGTGGAAGGGCTTGTTTAGAATTATGGGCTCGTTTTGTGGTACTATACTTTATATATAGCCAATCATAGAAACTGTTTGCTGCTGAGAGTGAGGTGCATTTGTTGTCTCATAATATCAATGAAATGGCTTGGAAAAAAAAAAACTAACTCTATTTGAAAGGGAGCAACTAGTTGAGATGGCGAGGAGGTGGGCATCATCATCCCTTCCACCAGCATTGTCCCAAGGATTTTTGTTATTTAAAAGCATTTCTAAATCCATTTATAAGCATGATTTAAGAGGTATCCTTTGAAAAGGACCTGAATGCATGATACTGATTTTGAAAAAAACCTAAAATTCAAAACAAACAGATAGTTTCCTCTAGGATTTTGCTTGGTCATAAATTGTCTCAGTTATTTGTTGAAGTTTGAACTTCATTCTTTTATAGGTCCTTAGGTTTTTGTCACTACAAGACTAAACAATTTAAAACATAGTTGTCAAAATTTTCAGTTAAATTTTCTGAAGTTTGGCCTGTTTTAACCCATTTTAGTTGCTTGACAGTTTTTTCTCACAAAACTTATAAAGATCACTTAGGGTCTGTTTGACGCAGCTGTTGATTATTTATAATCTGCTGATAAACAGATTGTTCTGACAATCTGATAATGTGTAGATTATCAGAATAATCTGGCTTGCTGTTTGGGGCAGCTTATAAGTGCGGGCGGCGTTTTGAAAACGCC